GGCTTCTCTCCGAATAAAGATTTCGTCCCTCAGCAAAAAAACGTATACCCATGTAAACGTCGATTTGCCACGGCTTGAACTGATACCTTTCGATGGTAACCCCGAACATTATTGCCAATTCATTCGCCAATACGAGAATTTTGTTGAATGTAAAACCGACGATGAAGGACAAACGTTTCCGTTTTTGCTACACTACTGTTGGGGGAAGGCCAAAGAGGCTATACAATGATGTGTAATGCTGGACCCGAAAGTGGGCTACCCGAGAGCTAGAAATATACTGAAGATGTTCGGCCAACCATCCCGAGTGGCACGAAACATGATTGACGGGGTGTTAGCATAGGCGAGGCGCACAAGAGGCGATACAAGTTCTCTATTAATAATAATAATAATATGTGTATATTTCACGGAACCCCGTGAGGCATGCATAGGCATGATCAAATGTACAACATAATCCTCCGTACAGNGTACAGGAGAAGCCCAAAAGCAAAAACAATTGAAGGTCGCAGTGGACATAATTACAAATGGAACACAAAGTGGACAATGTGTCAGATAAAAAAAGGTTGGGGATGGTGGAATGCTCTAAGAGAACAAGTCGGTGGAAGTAGGACGAAAAACAAGAATTTTTATACCGGATGAATGCTGAGATGATTGGAAACACGACAAGCAGTGAGTAAAATAACAAGAGGCGGCCTGCCGATCGTTGGACGGAAACCGGCACAAGAGAGGAGAGGGTGAAGTAGAACAGAGTGAAACTGTCATGAAATATATACGCACTTCAGGTTGTGAGACAGATGAGTTCTGAAGGGTCTCGTTCGATGGTCTCAGGGTCTCCGATCAGCAGTGCATTGATTTGGGTTATTTACGTTATTTAGGCGTTGGTCGCTTTGATGTTGGACTGACTAGACGCTAGACACCCAAATTTAAAACACCTTGTAGATGAGGCAGGGGTTGCGTTCTTCTATCTGGTCCGAAATGCGGACGCATGTAGTCAAAGCGGTGGATACTGCCGCGCCCAACAACCATTGCCCGTGCCAAATTGTCCATTGTGGGTGTAGACCCCAAGCCTTCGTCAGGCCCAAACCAACCGGATCTGGAATAGGGAAGGCAAACATCGGCAGACTGGGGTGCAGCCCAGCTGAGAAGGGATTAGGGAAGAAAATAGCAAGAAGCAAACGCCAAATTCTAATCAAGCAGGGAGCTTAGGTCATAATACTGGTGGAGGGATGTGGTCAAAATATGTCTAGTTCTACAGATCCAAATGGAGGTGGAAACGCGCAATGGTAGAACATCAGTTGATACAGTAGACCCAGCTAAGTAGTTTGCAAGTGCCACGGACTTGAGCCAATCGAAAAAGATGAAAGCGCAATCACATGGATATAATATAGGTGAAGATGGGTCAGAATACTTATGAAAGTAGGTACGAAATACGTCTGCTTTCCACAGAACCAGCTTCGAAGCTGCTTCAATGTACTGATAAGAAATTCGATGAAAGGTAGACACTGCGACTTGGTTATTATGTGCAACGGAAATGTGCCGATCGAGTTGGATGACATTGGAATAAGATGAACATAAATAAATGAATGATGGATCACAATACTTATAAAAGTATGTACCAAAACATGTTGTGTACCACGGATCCAGGTCCGAACCTGGATCGGTGTACTGATATGAAATTTGTTGGGTAGAGGGACACTGCTACTTGGTTTGCATGCGCCGCAAAGTTGAACCAGTAAAGTGAGACAATAAAGAGATCAAATATAATCAAACTAATGAAAGATGGGTCACAATACTTATAAAGATATGTACCAAAGTAGGTTGTGTTCCAAGGATCCAGCTTCGAACTTTGATCCGTGTAGTGATATGAAATTCTTTGAGAAAGTGGACACTGCTACCTGGTTATCATGTTCCGTGGTTTTGAGCCACTAGAGTCAGAAAATATCAAGATCAGATATATGCGAACTAAGGAAAGATGGGTCACAATACATATAAAAGTATGTACCAAAGTAGGTTGTGTCCCACAGAACCAGCTTTGAAGCTGGATTGGCGTATTGATATGAAATTTGTTCAGAACGTGGACATTGCTATCTGGTTAGCATGTGTCACTGAGGTTAGCCAATCGAGTCGGACGAAAAGGCAAACAGATGGATATGAGTTAAACAAAGATGGATCACATTACTCATAAACGTAGGTCCCAAAGTAGGTTGCGTTCCTCGGATGCAGATTCGAAACTGGATCGGTTTACTGATATGAAATTATTTGAGAAATTGGAAACTACTACCTAGTGAGCATGTGTCACGGATTTGAGCTAGTAGTTCAGATAAAAACGAGATCAGATATATACAAACTAAGGAAAGAGGGGTCATGATACTAAGAAAAGTATGAACGAAATTAAATTGTGTTCCACTGATCCAGATTTGAATCTGGATCGGTGTGCTGATATGAAATTTGTTGAGAAAGAGAACACTGCTACCTGGTTTGCATGTGCCACGGAAACTAGCCAATCGAGTTGGATGACAACGGAATCAGATGAAAATAAACAAATGAAAGGTAGCTCACAATACTTATAAAGTATGTACCAAAGTCGGTTGTGTTCCGCGGATCCAGCCTCGAGGCTGGATCTAGGAAACCTGATCATCAATATGCAGAACTGCAACATCGCCCTAAAACACCGCGAATATCCGTCGGACCTGGATGCACTTCACACGTCAGAATCGATTGTCCGATGTTTGCCGGCAGAAACTCAGACAGCCTGGGCGACCGAGGCCGATCGAATCGAGAAAAGGAACAGAGAGGCGACATTTGACGAACTCGCCCAATTCATAGGTTGTCAATCTGACATAGGAAATAGTCGATTCGGTCAACTGGAGAAGGAAAGCATCAGGACCGCTAGGCCTTTAACCAACTTGACACCATCTGGATCTCGAGGTTCCCTTAACCCCACGCAACTGGGCGAGCACCAACTTATTCTCATATGACACAAAGACCGATTAAGTGCAAAGTGCGCATAGGTGTCCACAAGCTTGTTGAGTGCCCAGATTTTTCGGCAATGAAGGTGATGGACTGCTGGACAGTAGCCAAAAGGACAGGATCCTGCTTTGTGTGCTTCAGCGATACCCACAGAGCAGCCCCATGTAGAAACCGAACCAACTGTGGTCAAGACAATTGCAGGATTCGGCTTCACCCCTTATTACACCACGATGGAGGAGTCGTGCAACAAACGAACAGCGACCGGGTCGATAAAACCGATGAAGCAGATGACCGGGTATTTATGTCGAGAGAAAACCGAACAGCCCTGACTGTCGTCACCGAAACGGCACGACACAACGGAATCCAATTTGAAGTTCCGTTACCCTAGCGAACGGGATCCAACCGACTGCCAGACAATCGAGAAATAGCACTCCATTGGGTCCACTACCTGAAGGGTCGATTGAAGAAGAACGCACAGTTGAAGGAAGCCTACTGTAACGCCATGAAACGCAATCTAGGGATATATCGAACGCGCAATAAGAGAAATCGAAAAGGAGCAGCCATTGTGTTACCTTCAGCACCACTCTGTTATAAACCCCAAGAAACCTCAGAAGATCCAGGTTGTCTTCGATTGTGCTTCCAAGTGTGCCGGGATTGCCCTAAAAATCATCTATTACAAGGCCCAGACCTGACTTCTCCGCTGATTGAGGTGCTGTGCAGATTCCGTCTGGGGGTCAGTTGCAGTAGCGGCTGATATCGAGGCGATGTTCATGCAAGTCAAAGTCCCCGAAGAGCAAAGGGATGCTCTACGGTTGTGATAGTGGCCGGATGGAGACCTAGACGGACCTGCCCAACAGTATCGAAAGACGGTGCACCCGTTTGGCGCGATATCTTTTCCTTTCTGTACAAACTTCGCGTTAAAAGCGACCATGAACCACTTTGCTCAGCACTTCGGAACCCCGGTGGGCTCTTGTGTTGAACATAATTGTTATGTGGACGACTTAATAATAATAATGTTGTATATTTCACGAAGCCCGTGAAGCATGCACTGAGCACGATAATATGTTCGAAATAGTCATATGTAAATCAAAGGTGCAGATATATAGATGGTTCAATCAGAGGATATACACAATGGAGACGGCAGGGGACCGGAATTGAAACGCAGTGAAAATGGAACACAAAGTGGACAAGGTCACATACGTTGATTTGGAGGATAGAGGGAATGCACTAGGTGAGAATGTGAAACGGAAAATAACGGAAGAGCGAACCTTGTATCGAGAGAATTCGATGTGCGGAATCTATGGGAGGAAAACACGGATCGATTTTCTGTGAGACTAAGAACTGGAGGAGATGAAGACTCGTGGATAGAGATGAATGGGAAAGAGGGGTACAGCAAGTTTATACAGTTCGGAAATACATGTTTCTCTGTCAGCTGCATAACAGCTTGCTTCTGAGAGCACATTCATTTGGGTTTCGGGGCTTCGATCGGCAATGTATTGATTTAAATTATTTAGGCGTTGGTCTCTTCGATGTGGGACTGACTACACGCTAGACATCCACTTAAAACACCTTTTGGGTGAGAAAGGGGGTGTGATCCTCAAGTTGGTCCGGAATGGGGACGCATGTAGTCTGAACGGTGGATACAACCACGCCCAACAACCATTGCCGGAGCCAAATTGTCCATTATGGGTGCAGACCCTAAGCCTTCGGCAGGCCCAAACCAACTGATTCTGGAACAAGAAGGCGATACAAAACAGTCTGGGTTGATACCCAGCTGAGAAGGAGTGGGGGGGAAAAACATGTCACGAATAATATGCACCTTGAAATAATGCCAAAACATATATGTACCTACGAATATATATATATATATACAGATATAGATATATACATATATATATACAGAAATCAACAGGTCAAAACCATGCACCTACCACTCTACGTACCTCATTTTTTACCTTCAGGGTGATATCCTTATGGAATGACCTTCCAGAAGAGATAGTCAGCGCCCCCAGCAAGGCGGTCTTTAAACTTCGCCTTGACCGCCACTTAGGTTTATCTACTCCTCCCCAATAAAAAGAAAAAAAACATTTTGAATTATATAAGAGTTCGCAAGTCTTCATTTTATTTCTCGCCTCGAGCGGGGAACCCTACTAATCCCTTTTCAGTACTCTCTGTTCTAGAGGTAATTCAAACCAAAAGAAAACACAGATACCTTTCAAGGACCCGGGACATTTGGGCAACAACCTCGAACCCGTGAATCACTTCAAGACTTCAAGACTACAGGGATTCTGTTCCACAGATCTAGCTTTGAGGCTGGATCCGTGTACTGATAAGAATTGGGTTTAGAAATTTACTGCTCATATACGCGTCGGAGGTGGGATACGGGGTGGTGGCCTCCGGTTGCGCGTCTCGGCCAGGAGGAAGAAGGCATAGCAGTATTCTGTTCGCAAAGGCCAGGGTTGCCCTTCTAAAGTCAATCTCAATACTCAGGCTATAAGTGGCCGCAGCAGTATTAGCCGTGAGAGTAGCGAAGGTGCTCAAAAGATTTTTAACTCCATTGAATGGACCGAAACCTACTGGACCGATTCTGCTATAGTCCCTCACTATGTTAGCAATGTACGGACGCGCTTCAGCACGTTTGTTGCCTACCGATTGGCTGTTATTCACGAAGAAACGGAGGTGGGTCAAAGGCGGCAGTTAAATCCTGTGACAATCCAGCCGACTACTGCTCCAGGGGGTGTGCTGAACTTGGAGAAAATAAAATCATGGTTACATGGACCGGCTTTCTTGACAGCCCAGCCCAGCGAACGGCCCGACACTCAGATTTCCTATGTCGCAACAGAGTTACTAGAGACTAAGAGGACCGTTACGTTAGTCGCTGCTTCAACCAACATCTTACTGCAGAAACTAAATCGTTTTTCACGATGGACGAAGGTGCTTAGGGTGGTTGTCCGGTGGACCAGATTCAAACGACAATTCGTTATTCTGAGAGGACTCGAACACCTTAAATATGGGGCTCATCATTCCAACTGAATTGAAAACAGCAGAAGCTGTTGTTGTTCGTATGGTTCAATCACAAGCCTTCCCGTCGGAGCTTCAGAGGTTNATTCCGACCGACGTGCATTACGTTGCAGTTTTCTCCGAAAACTCTGTCCAATATTGGTAGATGGGTTGCTGAGAGTAGGCGGGAGATTGACAAACTCTGAGTTGGACTTTGACGCTAAACATCCCGTCATCTTGCTCAACAACCACCACATCACACACACTCATCATACG